AATCTTCAATATTAAGCATTTCCTCGTTGAATATCTTCATGTATGTTCTTATAGACTTATCCTCAACTTAAGTGATTCCAAATAGTCTAATGGAACTCTTTTTAGTTGGAATGCTTGTACTAATGCATACCACTAACTTGGTGTAAATATCATTAAAACTCATGACTGCACTTGACTCTAGGTTATTGTATTATGCTTGCACTAAACCTCTAAAAGTAGTACGGAGGATCTTGCACATGATATGCTTGTTATGAATAACTAACTCTAGACCGTTACGTACATTTTATATATATATATATATATATCTTGGGATTTCTAAGCCCATCATAATTCTCCTAAGGTATGCAGATATTCAACATCTGTTTATTTAAAGGAGAGTCTTTGATTTAGTTGAAGAGTGTAAACATCCTTTTAGGTGAATTCTTCTTCCAATTGCTTATCACTTTTACGCATAAAAAGCATAAAGAGCATGAAGTTTCTGGCATTAGATGGCATGATATATGGATGGATCATTTTTTGGGATGCCCATATCAGCATTTACAAAAACCACTTCGTACCTAAGCGTTATGAGGGCCTATATGTTCTTTGCACTGGTTTGATGACCCTTAAGGTTAATAACCTTTCTTAGACTTATTTTGCCCACATTCTTCTAAGTAAAGTAAACATTAATGAGCACTATATGGAACTTGTTACTAGGAAAGTGATTGGTGAGATACATGGACTTATTAAGGTGGGACTAAGACTTGATGAGGTGGATTTGCTCTTATTTGTTGATTAGTCAATATTGCTTGGGCGATGAGCCGCACCTAGTTTATAAGTTCTTGAATGAGTGGTTGTGTAGGAGTATTTGTTGTGGCAAAAAGATTAGTAACTCACCCTTTTCCAAGAGTGTCCCAATTATCTTCCATTGATGATTATGAATATGGAGAAACAAATAATCAATAGTGTTATTTATGACCTTTTGAACAATTTTCTATAAACAGAGCCACTGATAATGTCCTGAAACCCAAAATAATTATGTAATAGGTTATTAGTTTATGGATAATGGTTAATCAAGATATTTAGGTAAGTAGTTTTATTATCCTCAGCTTAGGAAATACCAAATTAATGGTAAAGCCCTAAGTACATGCAAAAATAGTCTCAATCAAAGAGACTTAAAGATCATCCAATGATAAAATCAATAACTTTATGGAAAAGATAAAAAATAACTTAAAAAAGCCTTAAATTCTAAGAACAAGTAATGTTTGCTTTTTATATTTTAGGATGATTAATACTCTGTAATATATGTAAGCTCTTAAGAAAATAAAGAATACTAAACCCATACCTAGATAGTTCAGGAAGTATTTATAGTCCTAAACTTTGTGTTTTAAAAGAAAGAAATGAATGAAAAGTCTTTTACTTTTGGTGATATTAATTAGAGATAAATATTCCTTACATATCATTAATAAGATAGTAAATGTGATAGCTCCTTTAAAAAATCTTTTGTACATCTATAAATGTTGGAAGGTCATTACCTCTCGTATGAATGATTTATATAATTGTTCTATAAATAGGATTCCTTAGTTATAGATATTCAAGAATGAGATGTAACCTGACCTAGATTAAAAAGCATAATGGTTCATCCAACCCATTACACTTTTAGTTTTGATGTTTATCAAAGACTTGACATATTCTCTTAGGTTCACATGATGGCTAAACTCAAGTATATTGGGTCTAACATTTCGTTAAGCCTACATTACCTTGGATTCAACTAACAACTAAACCCAAATATATTGGGTCTGATATCTCGCTACATTTATATTACCTTAGGTTCAGCTGACAAGTTAACTGAAGCATGTTGAGTTTGGCATTTAGCCCAGCCCATGTTATCTTGGGTTCAACTAACTATTAAACCCAAGTATATTTAGGTCTAATATATAACTAGATTCATTTTGTTTTTAGGTTAGTTCATCACTGAAACAACTATTAAACCCAAGTATATTTAGGTCTAGTATATAACTAGATTCTGTTTTTAGGTTAGTTCATCACTGAAATCAAGTATTTTGGTTTTTGACGTATCCCTCGATACACTTGGTTTTTTTTTTTTTTGATAATCATTGATAATATATTGAAAAGGCCATAAAGCTAATAGCTAAAGTGAAATATAAGGATATGAAAAAAAAAAGAAACGCTCGATACACTTGGTTTTTTTTTTTGATAATCATTGATAATATATTGAAAAGGCCATAAAGCTAATAGCTAAAGTGAAATACAAGGATATGAAAAAAAAAGAAACAAAAAAAGAAAAAAACAGACTTAGGAAAAAAAAAGGAAAAAAACTGATCTACCACATCAAACAACAAAGAGACTACCTAAAAGTTCTTATTACACCATAATTTGATGTCATCAGAAGATCTTAAAGATGTCATTTTCTATACAAGTAAAGTTTGAATCTAGAATATACAACCAAATAACAACCCAATAAAGGATGGTAGAGAAATTATAAAACAAACTTATAATTCTCTCCTAAAAAATAATTCTATTCCTCAGCAATCAAATATCCAAAATAGTACCACTAGAAATTATTCTCCAAACTGATCACTCGATACACTTTGTTATAGACGTTTCTCTATCAGTTATTTGAAACGTCTTCTTTTCTTTCAGTTATTTGAAAGCCCAGTGAACTTTAGGCTACTATCCTGGATAGCCTTACTTATTTCAAAATCCCACAGGGCTCTTCCTCCTGTTTGTATTTTTTTTATTTGCTTTATGGTGTGGTTTATCCATAACTAGAGAATGCCCAGGTTTAGAAAAAAGAAAAATAGAGTTGGAACTTGAAATTATTAATGTTCATGAATCCTTGGTTGATTCCATGATGAATGGTGTTCAATATTTTGAATGGAGGTTACTGCATGACAGTGGCAGTGTGAAGCGAGCTCGTGACTAAGAGAGGGGAACATCTTCCCAAGCAAATATACCCTTAGTTGTCAAAACAATAATAAACAGCTACTTCCAAATAATCAATCCAATTACTAAGGAATTATTGTACAAAATTATCATTCTTTTAAAACAATAATTTGGAATGACAAAATGCCCTTGACAGAGGAAACCCACGCAAGTTGAGAATAACATCTCATTCCCTCTCTTAATCCTATGATAACTCCTTAAAGAAACCGAAAAACGACATATGATGCCCATGTGCACTCTCTGCACCCACTGCCCACTTGACTCCATTGAGACCTCCCTCTCTCTGTCCTTCTTCAGACCTCGCTACTCCCTAACCTATCCAACTCATAACCTTAATGCAGACAAACATCAACCAATCATATTTAAACCCTCTTTCACAGATGTAGCACTTCGTTGAGACCTAGGCAAACAATCTCACTTTCCTCTCTACACCTCCGTTCTCTGCAAGTTTTATGACATGCATCGTATGCAACAAAAACGCACTTGTAAAAAATATCTCAAGTCATTAACGGCTTGTTTGAACCAATTCTATTCTAGAAGTAATTCCAACTATTTACGTAGATTGAAATTAATTTGATTTGCTACTTGAATTCTTTTGTTTTGAATAGGATATAAAATTGTGAAATACATTTTACTTGAATTAATAAAAATACATCATTTACTTAACTTGTTATTATCTCTAAAAAATAAAAAAAATAAAAAAACTGCTTTTAAACTTATGTGTGAGAGAGAGGAGGAGAGAGGAGGGTGTTGATAAGATTAATTTTTAAGACGTGAATCCTAAGTAAACCATACCTCTTTATAAATCTATAAAGTTTTCAATTTTAATTGTTTGTAGAATTCATTTATAAATCTTCCATTCTTAGCCTTTTGTGGAAAATAGTTTTTGGGTATGTATGACTTGAATTATTTCCTTATATATGATAGCTAGCTCTGATCTCTCAGTTTCCTCTGAAATGTCCTTAAAGTCAAAGACTATGTATTTTTTACTATTCTATAAAGGAGAAAATTACCCACCAATCTATTATTGTAAATGGTTTTCCTATGTGACCACAATTAAACCGAGGGTTAGCTAGGTTTACAGCCAGGTGGCTTTTTTCTCTTATTTTTGGTACCACTATTTTAATTTAGTCTCTAATTCTTTTGGCATATGGCTTATGCTATCGAGAAGATGTATAAAAATCATGACGTGATAATATTCTCTTTGTGATTAATTAAAGGCATATTAAATTATCATGTGAAATACTTAAATGGATGATTTGTAATACTTAAATGCAGATTCCTGTAGTAGTTAGAAAATTTTGGAGGGATTATCACGAGGACAGGGAGAGAAAAAGTAATAGAAGAGAACACAAGCAAATGGAGTTATGTGGCAGAAGATATATTGAAACGGCAACAAATCTGATGATGAAGATAATAAATACAAGAAAAAAGGGAATCGATGTTGTGATGTATCTGACTTATGTGTCCGTGGAAACCAATCTGTGTGTGTTTTGTGGCTTAGTTTAATTCTCTGATAGGAATGTCAGAACTGAGGTGCTGAATGGGAACAAGTGCTCACGTTCTTCCATGCAGTTTTAGCCACACTACCTTTCGCACCTTAACCGGATTCATGCTCTAACTAATCTCAACCCCCCAAAGCTCCAAAACTACCATTATTGATCCCTCCCTCTCAGAAAAAGAAACGGTTAATTATAATTAATTCCATCTTAACTTAAAAGTTCTAGACAAACACATCCCAGATGCCCATGCTAAAACTTCTACAGCTTGTCTTAAACTTAAGAGTAGTAACCAAAATTTCTTCATTGAAGATAGCGGGGAGATTGACTACGATTGTGCATATAAACGAACTGTACTATTTCTTTGAGGACATGAATATTTCAAAATAAATGCACGAAGATATCAATATCGTTAGTAAATGAGACAATAAGAGTGCAAAACAACAATGAATTGAACTGTGCAGTCATAGAGATTATCGTAATCCATTAATAACTATGGTCGAAGGAATCAACAATATTAGTCTATATTATAAAAAAGATATTGTGCGAGATAGATGAACTCTTAATGTTTTTCTGTCATTTTTTTTTCTTAATAGTGTTATTGTTACATGCACCCTGCGAAATCATAAAGGATTTAGATATAGCCAAAGTGATCAAAGATCAAAGATCAAAGAGAAGAGGTCATGATCTCAAGATTAAAGATAGGAAAAAAGAAAACCAAAAAGCAAAGAGGAAATCAAGCAACATAATAAAGAAGGGGCAAGACGGCCTGTAATATATCCAATAACACTCGGGATTCAGCAACTACTTTACCTTAGGCCGGTCACCAAGCCTGAGTTCAAGATCCAATTCTTCTGCAGTGCAAGGGCTAATTTCAAGCACCTCAGACTTGTCGACCGAATTAGACTTTAGAGAGAAAGGTAATGATGATTTATCGATCCTCCGCTTCTTGCAGCTCGAAGGATCCTCCTCACTGTCCGTTATGCTTGGGCGAGTACGTCGAACTACCAAATTCAAGCTGACAGACAAATCTGTTTTGATACGGTTTACTTTTTCTCTACAACCTGATTCTACTTTCCATGAATTCTGCCCTCCTTCAGTGCTCAGATCAGAGTTATGATAACATCTTTCTGTAGCTAACTTAGTCCATGGTGGAGGAGAAGATCTAGGGGATCTCTTTTGTTGTTCTTCAACAATAAAAGATGAAAAAGTAGGGAAAAAACCCTTTATTCGGCAATTCTCGTGAGTAGGTGTAGTTGAAACCCTAGAAGAAGAAGGTGGGGATGCAATCGGACCAGGATCAGAATTAGGGTTAGGGCTATAAACCAGATTACAAAGCTGAGATGGGTGTTGAAAACCAAAAGATTTATAGGGATTTTGAAGGTGGCTGTGAGGACTTTGATGCTCCTGTTGAAGGACTTCATTGTGAGGACTTGGAGGTTGCTTTAGTCTAGCTCTATCCCTCCTGTGGACATTCATATGACCTCCTAGAGCTTGAGCAGACCTAAATTCTCTTCTACAAAAGCTACAAGAGTAAGATCTTGGAGGCCATATACACCCTCCAAGAGGCCCAGCTGCATCTTCAGCGAAAGCTTGTTCTTCCCAAGAATCATCAAATGAAGGATTAGTTGAAGCCTGGAAATTAGAATTCAAACTATGCTTACGCTTAGTCAACATCCAATACCGAGCTTGCTCCATATATTGGACAATATCTCTGGAGAGTGACCCTTCCAAGTTTGAAGAGTATACAGGATTATAGAACAAGTGTTAAAAAGGCATAGAAAATGAGAGGAGATGGGATATGCAAGAGGGACAGAGGAAAGGCTTAGCTGATTGCTTAGAGAAGTTGTCTGGTAGATAGATTGGTGGGTACTCTACTTGGTTGTCGTAGTGTAGCTACCCCTTTGGTTTTTGTGATTTGGTTCTCAACAGTCTACTGTATAGAGGGCTCAAATTTTTTTTTTCTTTGCAGTCAAGGCGGACAATCGTTTCGTATTCACTGAGTGGGTCCATGAGTCTTGCTTGCGCTGTTTATCTGTGCTTAGAGACAAACTGAGATCATGCCTGACTGAAATCTCCTTGGAAAGACCCAAGCAAAGGACGAAAAGATGCTTTAAATGTGCACATATTTTTGCTACACCCTCTATAGATACCTTTGGACTCGAAACTACTACTACACTATACTAAGCATTATTTTGATATTTTTCTTTGCGGATCGCCCTCTTCAAAGAATGTCCATTAACACTAGGAAAAAGGGTTATATTTCAAAGACAAGAATGCACATGCTCTGCTTTTTTTACACTACTCCTTCCATATATACATATTTTCGGTTGTTGTGATATTAAGAGAACATATGAACAGTGTTTATTTTAATGCTTCTAGTACTGGATGTTCTGAGTTTTTTGGCAGAAGATGGGGCCTTGGACTTAAGGTTAATGTTATGGAAAGGAGGGCCTTGGACTTAAGGTTAATGTTATGGAAAGGACAACTTTAGTCATTTGTGATAAACTTATTTCAAGAGTCGTATCTTTGTTGCAGGGTGATCTTAAAGTTTCAGTTGTCTTGCTTGGTTATTTGTGTTCCTCAGTTGTATTTGTCTTTGATTAGTTCTGTCATTTGGTGGCATAAACTTTGTGCTTATATAAAAAACACAATAGGAAAATAGCGTCGAGAAATATTACTGTTATAAACTGCATGCACTTATTAAACAGCTGAAAATAATTCTTGCATTATTCATGTTATAAACTTGCTGAGAGTTTCAACAAAGAAGAACAGAAAACAAAACGTTGGCCGTAACCTGTCCACTGTATTTAGAAGTTTTTGAATAACATTTGTTTTGAAGCATTGCGCGCAGTAAGAATATATACTGATATCATCAATTTGTTAATGATTTTGTTGCGTTGATGAAATCCGCGTTACTCTTGCCACCATCCAGGTTGGCTGCGCTACGCTATAAGCTAGTTTAAGTTTTTTACAATATAAAAAAAAATGATGATATAAATTTTTAAAAATTAATATAAAATTGAAATTAAGGTTATTAATCTAAATAAATTTAAAAAACTTGATTAATTTAATAATATAGTTATGAAAAAATCCAACGACCAAAAAAAAATTTAAATAGCAATGACTAATAAAAAAATATTAAAAGCTTAATTACCAACAAATCAAACACAAAAGAAAAAATTGAGACAAAATTAATTTTAAAAAATAAAAATAAAAAACTTGACTTAAGTCATCATATTAAATTTATAGGTCAGTTCTGAGGTTAGGAAAAGACTATTAGAAACCTAGTGTCTTTGTTTTAGAATAAACTTTTCAGGAGCCAACAAGTTAATTTGTTAGAGCTGATAATGACTTAGTCATTAGTTTTTGTTTTTCATTTTTTTTTTTTTGTTTCCACAATCTTCATATAAGAAGATGTGGTTTGTTTTTCCATGATTCTAAGTTGTAATGGCTATTTAAACCAAAGGCATTCTATTAAATAAAGTGACTACATAGTTAAATTGTGTTAGATCTTTGGTATTATAATAATTGGTATCAGAGCCTTTTAACAAGGCCTGACTGTGAGTACAAGAGTGAAAAAAAAAATTTGAGTGTTTCTTTAAAATGACAGAAGGAACTATGTGCTTAAGTTTGTGAAACATTATGATCATTGAGCTGAATTGATGGAGAATCTTCTTCGTTTCAAGGAATATTGGAATGTTATAGATCGTTGCATCATGGTGGAGATTGTAGGAGAAGCTCGGTCTTTCTCCTCAGTAGTAACAGAAAGCTGTCCACTCACAGATGTTCAAAGAAAGGAGTATGAAGAAAACAAGTTAAAAGATTTGAAGGCAAAGAATCTTTTATATCAAGCAATTGAACGAGATGTGCTTGAAACCATTCTTGACAGAAGCTCTTCTAAAGCAATCTAGAACTCCATGAAACAAAAATTTCAAGGCTCCACAAGGATTAAAAGAGCATGGTTACAATCATCACATTATCATTTTAAAATTCTTCATATAAAGGAAGGAGAATTTATGAATACTTACTTCACTTGAGTTTTATCCATAGCCAATAAAAAAAAAGCTCATGGTGAAAATCTAAATGAAACAGTGATCACAGAAAAGATTCTTCGATTAATGATTTCTAAATTCAACTATGTGGTCTGTTCAATTGAAAAATCAAACAACATGACTACAAAGACTATAGACAAACTTTAGAGCATTCTTCTGGTGCATGAGAAAAGGATGAAGAGTCAGGAGAAGAAGAATAAGTCCTTAAAGTTACTCATGAAGACGCAGGAAGAGAAAAGGGACGAGGAGCTTAGAGAGGTGGACGTGGTGCAAGAAGGCAAAGCTTTAACAAAACTAGTGTGGAATGCTATAAATGTCACAAATTAAGACATTTTCAAAATGAGTGTCCTAGTTAGGAAAAGGGTGCAAATTATACCGAGTTGGATGAAGAGGAAGAACTTCTACTAATGGCTTACGTTCAGGATAAGAAAACAGGCAAAGAAGAGGTTTGGTTTCTAGACTTAGGATGTTCTAACCACATGTCAGGAAATAAAGACTGGTTCATAGAAATGGATGCGCAGTTCAAACATTCAGTCAAGCTAGGAAATGGAGTAAAAATAATATTGATGGGAGAAGGGAGTGTTAAGCTTGTGACTGAAGGACTAACTCAAGTAGTAAAAGATGTTTTGTTCATTCCTAAACTTAAGAATAGCTTATTAAGCTTTGGACAGAAGAGAGAAGACTTGCTATTGTTATGAAGGATAAGGCTTGTATAATATATCATCCTACGAGAGGCCTTATTATACAAACTCTTATGGAAGCAAATATGATGTTTGTTTTACTAGCCACTATGATTACTCAGCCTTTAAATTGTCTAATAGCAAGTGAGGATGACTTATTAGACCTATGGCATTGTCGTTATGCCCATGTGAACAACAAAAATCTCAAAACTTTGGAAAGCAAGGAACTTGTGAAAGGACTTCCTTAACTCAAAGTCACAAACACAGCAAGCACAATGTGTTATTGTGAGAAACAACATCGAGCAATCATTCTTAAGAAGAGTCAGTTAGGAGCTTAAAAAAGATTTCAACTAGTGCATGCAGATTTATGTGGTCTAATTACTATAACTTCAAGTAGTCTTAAAAGGTACTTATTGTGCTTTATAGATGATTTTAGTATAAAGACTTGGATTTATTTTTTAGCTGAGAAGAGTGAAACTTTTTCCATGTTTAAAGTATTTAAAAGCCTTGTGAAAAAAGAATCAGAGTGTGATATATATTTTGTTTGAGGACAGATAAGGAAATTGAGTTTACTTCCAAATAATTCAATGTGTTTTACATTAATCATGGCATTAATAGGCAACTTACTACTACCTACACTCCTTAAAAAAATAGAGTGGCAGAATATAAAAATTAAACTATATTAAACATGGTTTAATGCCTGCTTTCAGAGAAGGAAAAGCCTAAACTATTTTAGCCAGAAGTAGTTCGAAGGGGATTGTATGTGTTAAATAGGAGTCTAACTGTGGCTGTAAAAGAAAAGACTCTTGAAGAGTGTTGGAGTGGAAACAAACCCAATATTGAGTACTTCAGAATTTTCGGTTGTATTACCAATGTGCATATTTCTACCAAAGGGAGGACAAAGTTAGATGAGAAGAGTCATAAATATATATTTATAGGTGTTAGTGAAGAATCTAAAGCCTATCGGCTTTATAATCCTAAGACCAAAAAGGTGATTGTTAGTAAAGATGTATAGTTTGATGAGAATGATGGCTAGAATTGAAGGAGGAATGATGACGATGTGAGGTGTGATGTATTTGCTTTGAAAGATACAAATTATGATGGAGAAATCAGAGACTATGATGAAAAATTAGTAAAAGAGATGATTTGGGTACAGAAAGATTTGAAAAGGATAATGAACTGAAATGTGGAAATGATGTTACTGCATCAGGGGAGAATGTTGAAATACTAAAAGATGGAGATGATGATACTACACTAAAGGAGAATGTTTGTGACACTAAAAGAGAATGATCTCGCCGCACCATGAAATGATTTTGATACACTAAGGGAAAATAATTCTTCTATACAAAAAGGAAGAGTTAAACAAACACCTAGATGAATGGATGATTATGTTCATGGAGCTGGTTTTCCTGACAAATCAATGTGCTTTATGGTATATGATGATCCAATATGCTTTAATGAAGCATTAAAATAGAAGAAATATAGGAAATCCATGGATTTGGAAATGGAAGCTATATAAAAGAACAAGACATGGAACTTGTAATTTCACCAAAAGGAATAAAGAGAATTGGTGTAAAATGAATTTTTCAAACAAAGTTGAATGAAAGGAAGAGGTAGATAAATGCAAAGCATGTTTGATAGTAAAAGGTTATGCTTAGAGATATGGAATCAACTACAGCAAAGGTTTTGCACTTATGGCTCATTAGCAACTATAAGACTAATCTTGGCTCTAGCAATGCAAAAAGGACGGATTGTTTTCCAGCTAGACATTAAGAGTGCATTTTTTCATGGGAATAAAAAGAGGTAGTTTACATGGAACAACCATAAGGCTATGTTCGCAAAAAAGAAGAGCATAAAGTCTTAAGAATTAAAAAGGCTATCTACGGCTTGAAACAGACTCCAAGAGCCTAGTATAGTAGAATTGAAGGATTCATCATGAAGGAAGGCTTTGAGAAATGCACTCATGAACACACATTGTTCCTTAAACATGAAGATGGAGGTAAATGCTTAATTATTAGCCTTTATATGGATGATTTAATTTACACAAGAAATGATGTGGAGCTATTTGAGAAATTCAAGAAGTCAATGAAGCTAGAATTTTACATGAATGATTTGGGAAAAATGAAGCATTTCTTAGGAGTACAAGTTTAGCAGAGTTGTGAAGGAATACATTT